CTGTAAATTTTAAGATTTTTTTGACCTAAAATAAAGATTCTAGATACACAATTTTATTCATATACTGTTGACTGGGTTTTTGCTGTTGAGTTTCATTTATACTCCTATAATACCGTTCAGGAAGGGTAAAAGGCTTTATGAGATTTGGTGCTACACACCTGTAATGCCAGTACTCTGAGATAGCCAATCAGAGCTACTTAGCAAGGTCCTATGTCTCAAGGAAAAAAAAAATCTCATTTTTGTTTCATTCTTAATTCTTGTACACAGATTAAGCCTACCTAAAATTACCTTATTACATACAAATTCTTCTGTAATTAACTTGAACTCTTACAATACCTTAAAATCACTTATTTAAAAAAAAAGTAAGTCTTTCTGACCTCCAGGAAAATTTTGTTTCTTCTACAACATAATGTATCTTGTAAATTGCACTGTCACCACAGAGTGTGTGAGCAAATCGTAAGATATTAAAAACAAGAGACACAAACAAAAGCCTGCACATTACATTTGACTAGACAGGTTCAAACCTAGCATACGAGGGCTACCTAAAAAACCGTCACTTAAACCTTATAGTAGGAACTGATGATTCCAGATAATACTAAATATTTGGGATTCGTTTTCCTGTTCTTCTATTCTATTATCAATATCCAACACAAAGAGAAAACTCAAATGGCAGAACAGAGATCTGATCTTTTGAGATGCTAATGCCTTTTAATCTTGACTGTCAGTAACAGAAGCCAGCAAGGTAAGAACAAGGACAGTTCTCTTGTTTTCAGAGCTCTCTCTGAGCGCACCATGCGGTTTCCCACATACTACCTCTGTACTTGAAAGCTCCCAGTTCTACAGCCTGACTCTTTTGGCCAACACACATTTCTCAACCACTCCCTCTCCACGCTGGAACTTCCCAGGCTGTTCCATTATTCACTTCCTTTACCCAGCAGAGTTCATTGTTTTACCTTGGTGTTTCTACCGTCCCGAAATGGTTCCTATCAGACCACCAAGAACAATGTTTTTTCAAACTGCCAGTTGCAACCACGGGCTTGTTAAATCTAAGTAGTTGATCTTCATTATCACTTACTGAAAATTAAATGGAATATAATCGAATAGAAACTATCAGACTACATCAAATAAAGTAAGAATATTATTTTGTATTTTTTATTATTTTAAACATGGGAGTACTACATCACAGCATAAAAATGTATGCTGCAGGGTATATTTTTAAATTTGTCTGGTTGGGTTTTTTGGGGTTTGTTTGTTTGTTTGTTTATTTATTTTGCAGGCTGGCCTCAAACTCCAGATCCTCCTGCCTCAGTTTATTTATTTATTTATTTTGCAGGCTGGCCTCAAACTCCAGATCCTCCTGCCTCAGTTTCCCAAGGACTAGATGTGTACAGCATGCCACATCAGGCTGGGTCATATGTCTTGAGTTTTCAAGCCCAGTCTATTGCACAGCCTAGCTTTCACTGGCTCACATGATTCTGGATAAAGTTCTGGAGACTCACTCTATATCCAAAGGAGTCCATGCAAGCAAGGCTTTTATGCAGTGGTTCTGTCCATCACTGTTCTATCTAAATGCTCTCTCATTTATCTACAAGGCCTACCTGAACTCACCTTTTAGTAATTAATATCACCGGCTCCAAAGTCGGTGGAGTTTCCTACAGCAGCAAATGTCTCCTCACACACATACTGTGTGCTCTTTCATCATCTCACATCTACTTTAACCAGGCTTCCCCACTTCTAAACTATCAACTCCTTTAGGGAAGAAGCACATTTCACTGACTCTTCAACTCTTCAATAATTGGTGCTGAACCTTTGGTAAAATTAACAAAGAACTAAGGACTTAAATTGTTAGGAAAGGTCAGATGGTTGCCTTTACAAAGCACACTGCTATTGTGACAGGCAGATCAACATTTCCACATGTTTGCTACCACCCCTAGAGTCTTAAGTAAAACAAGACTCAGTTTCTCATCTTCCAGCAAAGAAAGACTCCAGGTAACAATGTAGCAGCACCCACTTCCATTCTCTAAGAGTTCAAGGCAAAAAGAAAAGGCTCAAAGTTTGCAAAGTAGGGTAGGTATCAGAAAAACAAAAATCGCATCACCCATTAGTAGGGAAACTCCCATTCTGTACTTAACTATCTCTTAATAAAGTGAGGCATTACTGCACTAAGTAAAAACAAAAAGTAGCTTAAAACAATTGGCTGGAGTGGCTTGCTATTGGTTGCCTTCTCCAGTGTTCTGAAAGAGTTCTAGACTCACTAAGAACATTATGGTATGCCTCCGAGGTGCACAACCTAAGAGGTATTCCTCATTGAGACTCTGAAGCTTCTCATGGGCTTCATTTCACACATACAATTGTCTTTATTTGTAAGGTGTCTGCCATACCTATTTTTACACAGCCATCCTTGAGTTGACCTCACTCCAATTAAAAACAGTGTGTGCAACTCTGACAGACTCTGCCAACTGTTGGTTTCAGCTGTTCTTTTCCTTTTCCACAGTTCATAAACTAGTATTACAGGAGCCATTTTTTTCCTGCCTAATCATTTATTTTAGTTTAAGAAAGTAATTCCTTTACCCCTTAATGGTAACCTGCAATTAAAGCTAATGTAAATCATATCATAACATTCATCAAAAATCCATCTGTAATATATAAACTTCCTTAACCACGTGAAATTCTGGATATTCGTCCAAGTAAGGTAATTTAGGACTGCCTGGGAAAACTTTAAAGGTCATATAATACTAACTTCTGTTTCAAAGAGGCCCAGATGGTTATGCTTATTCACTTACAAAGGATAGATGCTTTGGCAGATGCCTTTGCTGTAGGACATTCTTGTCTATTTCCACCAACCCTTCCACTTTCAACAGTGCAGATAAGTCAAATCACCCACAATAAGAAAGGGCCACATTCCCAAATACAGACTGTGGGGAAAATAAAAGTAAGTGCTCTTAACTGCTGAGCCACTTCTCCATCCCTTCTTTCTAGATCTCTTAATACTAGTTATTATCACATTGGCCATGAAGTTTTGGCACCTAAATCTTGGAGGTCCAAACTCAAATTATATTACTCACCAATCAGGACTCCATTACAGTCATTTTTAAAATTTTATTTTACTCCTTAAAATTTTAGTTTATGTGTTTCGGTGTTTTGCCTGTAGGTATGTATGTGCACCACTTGCAAGCCTGGCACCTGCAGTGGTCAAAAAAACGGTATCAGAGCTGGGAACTGGAGCTACAGAGGGTTGCGAACCACCATGTGGGTGCTGGGAATTGAACCAGGTCCTCTGAAAGAGCACAAGTGCTCTTAACCCCAAGCCCCCTCCAGCCCCTTAAAATACTTCTAACAAAAAGGCTAGTGAGTTGTTTATAAACTCAATGAATGTGTTTCATGTAGGTAGCTTAGATTCATATTTCAAACACTAATCTCCTTTAGTATTAAATTAGTCTCAGTCTTCACGTGGTAAAACAGTGGGCATTCATGTAACGTGAGAGACACAGAAAACTGGTTCTCTTCATGATGCTGCCACTCCAGGCTAGAGAACTCAGTCTTCGCAATGAAAAACTGCCATTTGATTTTGTGTGTAGCTGCGAGTGCACGTGACACTCCAACATGACTTAACAATACATTTTAACGTGGAGCTGCATATAATCAAGGGAAGCCAATATTAATATATTTTTAGTATTTTCTCATTAAAAATTGGTGCATTTTCAAACACCATTATTTTCTAGCTTAAGTGCTTCAACAGTTTAGAAGAAAAAAGTCAACAACTGACTATTAAACGAGGGACGGAGAAAAAAATTCATTTTTACAGGTCCATTTATACTCCTTATTATACAGATAAGAATACAGTCCATAAAGGTTAAGTAATTTGCAGGTCACTAAGCTACTAGCAGCACCAGAAATAGAGTAAGGTATTTTAATTACATTCTTATCCTTGTCATTTAAGTATTAAACATAATTATCATCTCATAATTAATATCTGAGGAAGGTCTCCTGTGACACGTGTTCTACATTTTCAAAGTTGTATAAGCTAATAAACTTCAAACTTCAAATTTTAACTGCCAGAACAAAAAGAAACTACATGAATTTTAAAGTGTGTGCTCCTAATAAGCCATCACAATGAATTTCAAAAATCCATCATCCCAAACCTTGTCTCTCAACTACGTGTTTATCGATATTAATTCGACCACAGGAAGAATTCAGAGACAGCACTAACAATTCCCTAAAGAAATAAATAAATCACCACTCCCGTAACACGGGTTTCCAGCTTAAAAAAAGAGGAGCTCCTCGCATTTTATTAAGCTGCGGTATTTAGAATCAAAAGTTTGGAAAATGCACTCTTGGCTGGCTTATGTTGAGGATGTAAATCTGACACTGCCGACACAAGCTAAAGGTCTGAGCTTAAAAGAGAAAAGCAGAAAAAGTGAACAAGTCCCTTTAATCAAAAACTTGCTCTCTCCAGCGACCACACCGTGGAGACCGCAGTAGTGAGACTCGGAGATTTCCGTTTTAATGCCCAGCAAGCTAACGCTGTACATTCAGCTTCGGGTGTTCAAGGATAAAACACCGGGCACTGCGAGGGCAACAACTTACGAGGGATCGGTTTCAAGGACTGTAGTCTAACTACTCATTACAATCGTCCCTTTGTGCAACTGATTATTTCTACAAAGTCCTGGAAGAATGCAACTCTTCTCTTCGAACAATACCAGGTCAACCAAACCTAAGATGGCAAGATTTTGGTAACCTACACAGCGGTTTGACCAATGAAGAGGTACAGGGTAGACCAGCGCATTCTCTTCATACAAATCATTAATAAGACTGTAACAAACAACATTACACGTTCTAATTAGGACCTCTGGCGTCGCTCTACAACAACACAAATACAATCTCTATTTTAAAGTAGTACCCGTTGAGCAAGGGGGAGAATTTAAAAGCAGCCACCCCCACCACTCAGCAGCACACACGCACAAACAGACTTAAAGCTGTGATAAGCACAAAATCCTTACCCCATTTTGCCCAATGAAAACTTGCTCTGAAGTTTCTGCTCTTATGCTACAGAAATAACTTCCAAGGAATTTTCTCCGTCTGTTATTTTGCAGTTGCTTTTCCACCCCCGAGATCTTTTCCGGAGGTAACTCAACGATGCTGACAATTCAGTTAGTTCTTGTCGGCAAAAGGATTTCACTTGCGCCGATACCAAAACGTTCAAACATTTGCTTATTTGGAATTTGAAGAGGTTGCGCGGAGAATACAGCACTCAACTATTCCACAAAATCCGTGTGTGCATGAAGGAAAACGCAAAACCCAGCTTCACCGAGTCTTATAAAAAACGAGTTCGCTGGTCATTTCGCTCACGTCTCCCTCGCCACTCAAGGGAGCCAGGTAACTCGGCCTTCTCAGGGCTAAGGCGGTGGGTTCAAATTTCACCACACCAGGTCCCTAGAGGTGGAGCGTGCAACCCAACGCGACGTGCACTTTAATAAAAAATCCTACAGGCAGCAATGCCCCTGTCTCCCTTCGCTTACATTAAAAAAAAAATTATATAGAAAAAATCTCGAAGTGCAAAGCCCGGCCGCTCGCGATGTGCACGGCACACCACATCGGAATCTGTCCTTTCAATGTTCGTCCTCCTAAGACTCGGAGCTGAGAGGAGGTGGAGAGCAGGCAGAGAAGGCTGGGAAGGATCGATTCGTTCTCTCGAAGAGCATCAGCGGAGCCATTTCCAGGCTGGCGCTTAGCTGGGGGCGCAGCGGCCACCGGGGAGCAGCGCAGGGGGCCCAAGCCCACCTCCCTCGGCTTCCCGGCCCCCGCCGAGCACAATGGAGCCTCGTTCGCGGCCGCCCCCTCTTCCCGCCTCTCCTCGCAGCACCGGCGGCCTCGGGCTCCAGACGGCGGAGAATGAATGAATCAGAGAACCCAGCCCCGCGCGGTCCCCGGCACCCAGCCCCCAGCTCCTGGCGGCCGCGCGCTGAGGCGAGAGAGGCACGCGGCTCGTCCGAGGTACGGCAGCCGCGGCTCGCGCTCCCACCCCGG